CCTCCCTGTAGTTTTGGTGATATATATATATATATATAATATATATAAATATATATATTATATATATAATATATATAATTTGTGTAGGTATTAGGTTGTAGACAGCAACCGCCCAGGGAGGTACACCGCTCCTGCCAAGTGAGTTAAAACGAAAGCCTGTAATTGTTTTACATGATGGTAGGATTGCATGGTGTCCTTTTTTCTGTCTCTCATGAACATGCAAGATTTCAGGTACGTCTTGCTACTTCTACTTACACTTAGGTCACACTACACATACATGTACAAGCACATATATACACACCCTTCTGGGTTTTCTTCTATTTTCTTTCTAGTTCTTATTCTTGTTTATTTCCTCTTATCTCCATGGGGAAGTGGAACAGAATTCTTCCTCCGTAAGCCATGCGTGTTGTAAGAGCGACTAAAATGCCGGGAGCAAGGGGCTAGTAACCTCTTCTCCTGTGATATATTACTAAATGTAAAGAGGAGAAACTTCGTTTTTCCTTTTGGGCCACCCCGCCTCGGTGGGATACGGCCGGTGTGTTGAAAGAAAGAAAGATATATAATTTGGTGATTAAAGCAAGTGGAAACAGCAAGATGCCGGATAAGACGATAGAGGTTTCAAGACGACAGAATATGTAGTTGAAAGATGCAGTGAACCAGAGAATATATGAGTTCAAGGAAGTGGCAGCTCATTCATAAATGACAGAGCAGGATAGGCTGATCATGATGGTGAATAAATATGGGACGAATGAGATGCGTTTTTTTTTTTTTGGGGGGGGGGGGGGGGGGGTTGACGTGATGTTGGAGTGTGAATACTCTAACTATGAACAGGATGAAAAACATCGTGCGTACGATTTTTAACGGAAATCTTATATGAAGATTGAATGTGAAATTAATCAAGTCCGCATGATACGGTAGGGCTGGACGGAAAACAATCGCGAATGAATCCCTAACAAGGAGAACCAGACCAGACCAACGAAGCATAAATATGCTGTAGCGACAGCCAAGAAATCATTTAAAGGGAGATAATTTGATGGTCACTATCTCAGATTGGTGGCAAACTGTGTTAAGAGTACAAGCTGATCAATCACTGCAAACCAGTTAATGAGTCGTTCCTAACTTGATAAAGAAGACTATTCCTATACGCAATAAATAATATCAGTTACGATTTACCTCTTTCCAGTCCCTTATATCCAAGCAAAATGCCACAGTTTGGGGGATTTGCACAGTTAACTGTACAAAATTGACTAATAAAAAAATATTCGTTAATAATAAACAAAGTATGCCTTAAAAATACATACTAACCCAAACATAACTAGTTACCAACGTTTCTGTAAAAAAGATTGTTTTGAAACTTGACCATAACTAAGTTTATAAGCATTCAGAGCTAAGATTCGCGAGGACTGCAGTAGCTAAGTTGCAATTTCTCGAGGAGAGCGATGTTTTTTTACATGATATAAAAGCAAGTAATATGAAACGATGATGGCTTAGACAGCTACAACTCTATGAACATTTACCTGCAACGAAACGTTTCATAGCTCTCCTTTAGGCATGTAACCCAACATAACGTTGATCCTAAACAATAGGTCGAAAGTGGCACCCCAATTTCTTACATAAAGTTTAAGTAGTAAATTAGTATGGTCCATACAAATATATATAAGGAGAATAATAACAAAAGTGTCTGTCAGGAATCCACTTTTCTGCTGCAGATGCTTCTATAAGTCTTGAATGGATTCCACACACACACTGATTGGAATATTTTGACTAGGGAAGAATGCTCGTAATGCCGATCTTGAAAATTAGCATGTAATATTCAGGATATTTCTGCCTAACAGGGAACTAAGCTTAGCCATCCGAGTTTTCAAGATATGTATGACACTGCTTGGGACGTGCAGTATAATACGAGATCGTTTACATAGCTTCCTTGTCATTAAATTATCGCTCAGCAGTTCTTAAAACATCATAGACTGAATATCCTACATCAGCAGCAGGGTACTGTAGCTGTCCCACTTTGCTGTTACTGCTGTCATTAGGTTTCCCACCTTGCTGTTACTGCTGTACACAAATAACCCGCACATAAAAAGAGAAGCTTACGACGACGTTTCGGTCCGACTTGGACCATTGTCAATGGTCCAAGTCGGACCAAAACGTCGTCGTAAGCTTCTCTCTTTTATGTGCGGGTTATTTGTGTATCGTTCCAGTCACGGTATTGTGCCTTTTTTTGTTATTTCTGTTACTGCTTGTCTTTAGGTTCCCACCTTGCTGTTACTGCTGTCATTAGGTTCCCACTTTGCTGTTACTGCTGTCATTAGGTTTCCCACCTTGCTGTTACTGCTGTCATTAGGTTTCCCACCTTGCTGTTACTGCTGTCTTAAGTTTCCCACCTTGCTGTTGCTGCTGTCTTTAGGTTTCCCACCTTGCTGTTAATGCTGCCTCCGCCACTGTTAGGGCACTGGCGGTAGGATTCTTAGTAGTTTATCAGAATTCATACACAAAATACAACATTGTGAAGAATAAGTAACTACTTTCTGAGTATAATTCAATTAATCACAACGACACCTCTCCATATCAGCTGTTCTCACCCAAACTGTTGTGAATAGCTGATATCATTGAGTCAGGTTCCAGAATAAGGTATGTATATTTGGTAAGTGAGAATCATCACGTCATGCACACCAACCAACCAAGAGGTAGACCCTGTTGGAGACAGGAAACTAGTGATTTTTAGTACAATATTAAAAAAATAATAATTTAAGAAGTATAAATACATAAGACTGGGGCAAAGTGCATCTGTTAATAATGCATATTGTAAATATTAGAGCACACTCACAAATATTATCAAGGAACTGTAAACAGGCTGCTACATATATACAGTATATATCATAATACCAGTTATGGTGCATCATAACACTGAATTACATATACAGAATGTATAAAAATTTCAAACATATTTTAACATTAAATAGTATATAATATAAAGTAATTCTTGACTGTAGGCTGTAAGGTCGTTACAACTTTGCTAGGAAATGCTTAGGGAGGATTGCTACTAGGTACTAGCCCACTACTGCGTGTAGCCAGGAGAGTTATCATTTACCTGTTGCTATCTCTGCAACTTGCATGACCCCATGAGTTTCTGTATTAATTAAAGGCATCTGACAAAGTAAATAAATTTTAGAATCTGTCATAACTGAAATAAAACACTTTAAATAGTTGACATTTGATTATCCAAGGAATAGGCCGAAGATGATTTGTAAAACAACTGAGAGGAGCTCACTGTTATAGTTATGAATATAAAAGTGAATTAGCATACAGGAAGAAAAACAATATAATTTATATACTTGAATGAAGATTTTAGAAGATTTAATATAAAAATATGAGATTCAGGATGAGAGTCAAATGAATGGGAGGAGAGCGTTAACATTCTCATTTGATACGGTCGAAATTCCGATGTACACCAGTGAAAGCTGACCTCTATGGGAAGCAAGAGGAGCTCTAAACATACATAATCAAACACTGTGCGTGAGTTTGTTTGATTCATAAAATCTGAGTAACTTTCAGTTTATATTTTGAATTAATGCAAAAGTAAAATCCTGACTTCTATGAATTTTTTGTACTAAATATGCTATGCTAGTATACACATCAATGAACAAAGGATGAGGAACTGTGCTAGGACTGCTGAAAGCTGGACATGACGAGTCACTAGGATTATTACAACCAAAGGAATCCTGTGTAATAACCAGAGATGGCTAGTGTCCTAAAGAGGAGGACATGGTAGAAGTTATAATAAGTGTTTTACTCATGTACACTATATAGGGACTAGTCTTGTAACTTTTCCTGTGTATGTAATGCATGTATGTATGAATGCTGAAGCATGTACAACACACACACACACACACACACACACACACACACACCACACACACACACACACACACACACACACACACGCACAAGGTCTAGACCTGATAAGTCAGACTTATGAGATGCTGAAGGGACAGAATCCTTCAAGTACTGGACACTTGCTTCGAAGGATAAATGCTCTTGATCATAGAAACTGGGTTAAACTTCCCTTTGCTAAAACCTGATTTCCACATTCCCGAAACGCTGTATGACATATACAGCTTTAGAGCATTCCCATGAATATAATAAAGGAACCGAACCTGAAGCTCCCAAAAAGACCCAATGTTCACATGATAATCAAGAAATTCAGATAACTTGTCAGGCAGACTGAAAGGCGGGGATTGGACACAAGTTAACATAACTGCATGTTAATTAATAACGCAAAGAAGCCACAAGAGTATAAAGAAGAGTTTTTTCAATTTTGGGTATTGGTAGAGGAAGCATAAGCTAAATACAGTTCGAAGGAGAAGACTGACAGAGCCCATGAGGCATGAACTTCGTGAAACCAGAAGTGTGAGGCTCAGTGCTGGACCATGAGCTGAGATTTGACTCTTCTCAGCAATAAATAGGTTAAAACAGTCGAACATGTACAGATACACGTACGCGCGCACACGCACACACAAACTGTATATACATAATCACATACATACACACCATATGTAACGAACAGCAAACGAAAAGTGTACAGATAAAATTAGTCAATGGTAAACTATATTTCTGAAATTGCATATTATTACAATAATTATTAATTCTACAACATTTAGTATTTTATAAAAAATTATGTCAATAAAGCAAGACGTGTAAGAATGTTAAATCATTGTCTAATTCTACCGAGTAATGTAGACATATAATAGTCTCATATTAATGTTAATTAAATGGAGATTTTAATATAAATAAAGATTCTCGAAGGAAAGAAATTATAAATATAAGATTTGTAATATTAAGTCAAAAGGGTTGGTCTTTATTGTCTGTGAGATAGGTGGTCACTGTGTATCAAGAAAGCTGCCAGTGCACTTGTTAATGTGTATATTAACTGTAAAACTATTGACGTTTGTGGTACCGTTTATGTTAGATATAGCGTACTGTGATATGGTACACAGCTGCCCAGGCAATGCACGTTATTACACTGTGTATACAACTGTCCAGGATATACGTTATATAACTGTATACAACTGTCCAGGATACACGTTATATAACTGTATACAACTGTCCAGGATACACGTTATATAACTGTATACAACTGTCCAGGATACACGTTATATAACTGTGAACATAACACAGCCAGCCAGGTTACAACTGACGAAATTTTGAGATCTAAGATACCTGATGCTAAATGATGCTAAACTTGTGGAGAGTGACAGATACAAGAATGACCTGGACACAGTATCTTATTCAAGGAACAACAACAAATAAAATTACTGAAGATATGAATTCTTCAATGATGGTATATCTTTACCATTATTTAAGTAAAGTGTGCAAAAAATTTAATATCTAAAAATTATTAAGTTGGGCATTTGCGGAAATTCATTCGTCATTGTTTAAAATATATTTCTTGGGATGAATAGTTAAATAAAAAAAACATTAGCACATCAGACACTGGAATGTATATAACATTATTTTGACACCAAACCAAAAAATATCATATATCTCATATATCTTATATAGGACCATAGCTAACAAGTTTATATCTCGCATCTTTCATATATAGTTTAACAGTTAACATATGTGGGGGATCATTTAAACCTATAAACAACAACAAAAATGCACAATATATCAGAATAACGTTTGATATCATCTTGCTAGGTAAGCATCAGACGCTCTGAGTCAACAACTTCTCAAAACTCAAACTGATACAAGTAACTCCAACTTTGTATGAGCTAAAAGGTAACACAGGTATGAGCGTGCATGTGGTTGGTAACCACAATGCACAGTAATGGCACATTGCATAGTGAAGAGTAGGTATGTGGGCGTGAGGGAATAGAGACTGGCAGGCCGATGTGAGAGATATCTTAAGGGAGCCCATACAGTCTTATGTTATCAAGGTTTAAATTATATGTGCCTACTGTCACTAGTTCAAACCTTCCCTGAAATCTTAGCAATTATAATAAATTCTATATAATATACTGAACAGCGGTGAAACTAGTTCATTTTATTTCTTGTTTGATCAGAGAGACTTACATCATAAATAATTAGTTATATTACACCTGATACAGGATGAAAAACCCTGTCTTGGAACCACTTTATGCTCACTATATAACAACTATATCAAGATTTTTTTTATGTCTATCGCTGCTATTCCAAAACTGAGCATATAAAGTCTTGCTACGTGGATAACAAATCTTGCATATAGTTTCTCAGTTGTGTTACATATCTCTGTGCCTATCAACAGTATGGTATACAATACCGACAAGATGAATAATTAGACACATTTGCAACATCTGGGTATCTTTTTTGTAGACGTTTCGCCATCCAATGGTTTTATCAATGTAAATTGAATGACCAAATTGGAAGACAGTAGAACTATATACATAAGATGAGGTAATCAGTGGTTCAGCGTTGGAGTTGAAGAACACCGTAGTCGTGAAAAATCGTCTGACTTTTCACGACTACGGTGCTCATCGCCATCTCCAACAGTTAGGGATTGATTACCTAATCTTTTGTAAATAGTTCTATCTTCCAATTTTGTCCTTGAATTTGTATTGATAAAGCCACTGGATGGCGAAACGTCTGCAATAAAGATACCCAGATGTTGCATTTGTCTAATGCCTCATCTTATCAAAGAGACGAAAGTTGACAGTGCCGCTGTTATTTAGGTCCCATGAGTAAATCAGCTTTTTATTTTTTTAGCAATGTAGTCCCTAACAAATGCATTTTTTAGTACTATACCAGATTAAATAAAAACTCTGCTATCAGTAGTATTCATTCAACAATTTTAAAAACAAATATGATAATGCAGAACCAGTCTGCATACATTTCTTATGGTACAAAATTTAGAAATTACCAGTCATATAAAATTACTTCATATTTTTTACCCTTATTTGATAAAAAAATACTTTGACATTTACTTATAATCAAACACAATAAGTACATCACTGAATTACGTTACGCCTAATAATGAAGCTTAGTATTTAAAATTTTCACATACAAATCATACGACTGTAAACAAACAGCCAATAAACCAGTCATATTTTTATCCATAAATACTGAATACTGGAGAAGGAAATTCCTAATGAATATAATTTTTGGCCTAATGACACTGTGGCATCACTTATCATGTGAGTTCACTGTCACATGAAGCAATGATGTATAATAGTTGTAACTAACAGAAAACTGGGTCGTAACTAATGTTCGACGCTTCGGTGTACACTAGAAACTCTTCAAGTATTTTCGACTGTTGGCAGAGAAATCATACATACTGAAATTGTAACTCTTTACACGAACATTATTTGAATGGGGCTTAAAAGTCAGCACTGTCTAAATAAGAATAGTTTAGTGTCATCTTTTTTTCACAAGGATATAGAAAAGCAAGCTTATGTATAGTAACAAAGCCTAACAAATTTAAAAGAAGAATATTAAATAGACAGGGTTGCCAATAAAAATTAATTTCCGATAAAACTAATGACTTCAAGTCCCACTGTTTTAGCCAAGAATGAATTTTAGGTTTACCAGGTTGTTGCTGCCTGGGACTCTCCATCTTCCAGTCCGATCTGTTTATTTCGGATACTAAAATCTTCTGTAAAATATTCAAAATCTTATTTGAATATTTTGATCTAGCTGAGTACAAACATGAAGTGCGTCTCTCTCTGGTGCTCAGCAGGAGGAGGATCGAGCCTCCACCACGTCTTGCACTGAATGACTCACTTAAGTTGAGCGCTTAACATGAATTATTAGCAAATTCTTATTGACAACTCTGAACATGTATGAAGGAAAAAAAAACCGGGTGTAACATTAATGAGTGTAGTTACGTGCTGAATGATTGTGTCAAACTATTTCTATCTTCTGGTGAATGGGTCACTAATAAAAGTTAATAAAGTACAGTACCCATATCGTGCACTCGAGTGGATAAACTGGTGACTATAAAAGTATGACTCCTTAAACAAAATTTTAAGTGAATAATGTAAATATAAAGTTACATAAAACTTTTCAGAAGAATTGATCAACCTTGTAGCGATTCCTGACAAGAATATAATATTGTCAAACTTACTCATGAATTACAATCTAATTCTGAACTATGAGAAAATAAATATTTATATACATACTTATCAATCTTTTAAAAAGGGGAATTAGTGACATTTCAAGTCACTAAAATTTACATATATACTCTATTTACAAACTAAAATAAAATAAAAACATATGATAAATTAGGTCTATAATCATTAGTGACTATTGTAGTTTTAAAGTGTCATCAGTAACCAGCGAGAACAGTCACAGTAACAAAATGCGACTGTATTAGCAACTGTAACCAGTACAGAGCTCTACTAAATCTTCACCAATATTATTGATGCAAAAATCTTTATGCATTGTACTTCAGTTTCACCATAACACATTTTACAACTAAAAAAGGGGGCTTTATGATTGACAGTTTTCCACTTTTAAATATTAAAAGGTGGTTATCATCTACTTTTGCCTTCACATCAGTCAATGATGTCCATGTATGTCTAACACTAATTTAAGAGAGGTCATTGTTGTGAGGACTGAGGACCACTGTAAAATATCCAGACTTGGTGAGTCATCCATCTTCAATTAAATACAGAGGGTCTTACTACCCTTTTCGCCATTATATTTACAGATAGCCAATCTCCTCAATTTCCTTCTTCTTCTTTTTAATGAGGAAATAGAGCTCTTTGATGGTTGGGCGATAGCACTCTGAGAGGAACTTGTTCATAGTGCGGTACAAGTGCTCCTTGACGCCAGTCAGGCCATGGTTCTCATCTGCGTATGTCTGCATGGGAAAGGAAAGGGATAAGCAAGAAGACAACATATTACCATCACAACTTAGCTAAAGGTATATTTAATTTTCACAGACAATGTAACATATTTATGAAGATGTTAATATCTTATTTTAAATACCTATAAGTTCTGAAGAATTGAAGGCACATTTTAAATACAAGGGCCTGTGGCACTCCTGGAGTACAACTAGCATGTATAATAAATGATACTGAGATATGTACGCTACACGTCTCAGTATCATCTATTATACACTATTTCAATTTGTAATAGATTAATTTTGCGTATTTCTTAATACAGTGGACCCCCGCATAGCGAACTTAATCCGTGCAAGAGGGCTGGTCGTTATGCGAAATGTTCGCTATGCGAATTAATTTTCCCCATAAGAAATAATGGAAATAAAATTAATCCGTGCAAGACACCCAAAAGTATGAAAAAAAAATTTTTTTACCACAAAAAAATGTTAATTTTAGTACACACAAACTGAAAAAGGCATGCACAATTACATGACACTTACTTTTATGAAGATCTGGTGATGATTGATGGGATGGGAGGAGGGGAGAGAGAGTGTTAGTGTTTAGAAGGAATCCCCTTCCATTAACACTTGAGGAGGCAAGTCCTTTTCCGGGGTTACTTCCCTTCTTCTTTTAATGCCACTAGGACCAGCTTCAGAGTCACTGGACTTCTTTCTGTCCATAGAGCTCTGTACCTCCCGTTCCTTTACGATTTGTCTAAAATGGGCCATAACATTGTCATTGAAATAGTCACCAGCACGCCTTGCAACAGCTGTGTCAGGGTGATTTTCATCCATAAAGGTTTGCAGTTCAACCCACTGTGCACACATTTCCTTAATTTTTGAAGTAGGCACAATGGATTCCACAACTGGCATAGGCTTCTCAGGGTTAGCCCCAAACCCTTCAAAATCTTTCTTAATTTCCATACTAATTCTCACCCTTTTTACCACAGGGTTGGCACTAGAAGCTTTCTTGGGGCCCATGGTCACTTATTTTCAACAAACAGAACCGAAAACACTGTAATAATACGAAATATTCCGAGTGTATGCTTGAATGTTACCGCGGAGGCTAGCTGGTAAACAATGGGACAGGCGGCACATGTGAGGCTGGCTGAGGCCGCACATTGGACGCGTCTCGGACGAAGTTCGCTGAGCGGGTTTTTGTCTACTATGCGGGGCAAAATTTTAGCGATCAAAGCGTTCGCTATGCGGAATGTTCGCTATGCAAGGCGTTCGCTATGCGGGGGTCCACTGTATAATTCATTCGGTACTAGCTGCTTAGTTTTTCAAAGGTAACCCCCCAATGCTGGTTCACATTACTGTGATAGAGAATTTCAGCTGCTTTTCTTGACTAAGAATACAGCACCCATTCCTCCTTTACTTAGCTTACGTTACGTGGCCCTCCGGAGCCATGTAACGTAAGCTGCTTCTGCGTCCCCATACCAGGCTGGAAAGGTAAAATGGTCTGAATCCGTTCTTAGCGTCCCCGAAATGGAAGTTTTTCGTGGAGATAGCCACCTGGACCTCCTTTCCCTCCACATATTTTCTCTTTCAATGGGATTGTCCAGGCATTATGGTTCCCCTGTCGAAGTCATTTGTGCCCTTCAGGACTATAACTTGTCATTAATAGGTTTGCTGGAGACTAATATCTTCTATTATGAATTATAATAATTTTCCCACTGCTAATGTTAGGCTGATTGGTCTGTAATTTGATGGGACTATTTCTCGCGTTTTTAGAGAGGAATCACGTTAGCCATCTTCCACATATCATGTAATGCCCATTTGCAGTGGCAATGGATTTGTCCTCGGGTTCACTAAGTTTTCGTATGCCTCTGCACTTCCTGACACATTTGCCAAAGACTGTGCTTATCTTGGTCAATGCTATTATTAATTAGTCAGGTTTATCTGCGCTTCTCCTTTCTGCAGACTGTGACCATCTGGGTGAGCCTGTAGGGCAACTTCACTGTGCTTCTTGACCTTCACCCCAGAATGCGTTGTAGACCACTCTGCTCCGTCTTACCTAATCTGTGGCTACCCCTTATTTTTTTTTTCCTCCGGGTAACCTCACTTCTGACAAACCAATATGGGATGAAGATTGCTCTATGCTAGATATGAGGGGTAATTTTCTAGACTCTAGAGCCGTTCCAGATGCTTTTGGATGTTAGCATGCTGAACGATGCGTCCTCGATCCATGACATTATTCATATGGACGCCTCCTGGGGCACACACCTTTACGTGTGTTCCAGATCAGCGTATCAGGACTTCGGATAATCTTCTTTTTCAGGATTTGTACGGCTGTGGTCATTTCCCTCTGTGTTGTAGTCTGGGGGATCCAAACCTTATAGTTTGCCCTCCGTAGTGGAAGCTAAAGATGGCAGACTGGACACCTGAGGCTCGATCGCAGGTGCCCTTAATAATTTCCTTGATGTGCAGAGAACTTGTGATCATTTCATAAGTGTCGTTCTAAGGGAGGCATGTGGTCATATATCCTGGATTAGATCCTTGAGGCTCTTTCTGTCACTGCCTTTTTAGAAGAGACTGAGAGAAGTATCGCCAGATTGCGCACACAGCCTAGCACTGCCACAAGATCCATTGTTCGCTAATGAATGAATCGATCTACCAGCGAATGTTTGCTAGCATGAGGGAGGTGTTGAGAAACTACTAGTAGATGTCCTGAGTCTGTTACTGTCATGCACTAGAGTATCTTGTCAAAGCATTGCTTTGTAATCAAGATATCTGCGGCATGTAACCTTTAATATTTTAATAAATTAATATAAGTAAATTTGCTGTTCTAGCAGGTTGTGAATAACTTAAAAACGTCAAGTTAAGGAATGATGGTTACGTTAAAGGGTTGTTCACAAATTTTAAAATGTATTGATATAAAATTCTTTCTTAATTCAAATGGAAATAACGAAAGCATTTATTGCAATTATGTAAATATGGAAGAATTAGCCAAAATATTCTCATTTCAAAGTTACAGGAGTGGTGGTGATGCCTTGTCTAACGTCAGGTGTGATCTGGGCTATGAATGAATAAAAGTCAATGTGATCTGGGAAGCAGTCTGAGAAAGTGACAGGTGCAAGAGTGAATAATTTTATCATCCAAAAAGAGAACTTTGGAACCCGTCGCCAAAATATTCAGTGGTCCTATAATTGTAAGATAAGTTTGAGATTAAAATTAGTGCTAACTTGTTCAGTAAGTTCTTCCTTTCATTTTCTTTATTTCAGTGTTCGTGTATGTTAGGCATACGAGTATAAAAAAATTAATCCTTAAAATAAGTCCTAAAGAAAATTCAATATCTGAAACACACATTCCAGTGTATTTATTTTACATGTATATATTTTTTTTTCAAATCCATGAAACCAATATAACTTCTAGGAACTGCTCTCTTACATGTTTTGATACAAACAATTTGCTCATTCCTTTTCCGTCCTAATTCCACATCGTTGTTTAGTAATTATATATTTTGTCTTTCCTTTAAAATCTTCGATAGTATGTTTTCCCTCTAACACTTTGCCAGATATTTACATGATGATGATTCCCCTATAATTCTCTATCTCTTATCCTTTCTTCCTTGTGCAAGAAAGGTACACACGCTCTTTACCAATCCTTAGGTACCTTCACTTCTTTTATATATACAACAAATAAATGTACTAGCCATTCCAGAATAGAATCTCTGCTCTTTTTATCATCTGTATTAATGTCATCCTTCCTCTGCGTCTGACTTCCTTTAGACTCGCCTCAGGTTCCTGTCTTACCAGATACTATTCCTCCCTGCATGAACTCTCCACCTATTTATCATCATTATCTATATTTAACAGTACCTCTTCCGTCACTTCCAGTTTTAACAGCTAATCGCGTTCATTCTTTACAGCTATGACCATCTTCCCGAAGATTTTTCACCCAAAATTAGTTGATAAATACGTTTTCTGATTTGTTTAGTTTTTACTCTCCATATACTCAGCCTTTATGTCATTTTTATTTCAATGTAAAATCTTTTCGTATGTTAATTTTTTTTTTTGAATAACTACTTTCTTAATCTCATCATTGCTCTTCCCTGGCGCATCCGACCTCATAAACACACACACACATCTCTTCTCCATACTCTTGGTACCTCATTAATAAATTCACACCATACCCCCTCGTTATTACTTTCTCTCGTTCTAACTAATCTTTCTCCCGAGGATTATTCATACTTCCCACTAACTGTCCCCTTCTCCAATACCTTTCACTTAACTTCACCCACTAACACCATTCTCACTGTACTTGCTCCTCTACTTTAGTTACCATTAAATACCGATCTTACATATTAGTCGTTCCTAAATACCGATCTTCTATATCAGTTCCTCCTTTAAAATCACATTTGTTCATAAGTCTGCCTATTAATCTTTCATACATTAATATAGAGCGTATCAAGTTGCGCTCCTTATGAACTGTATTATACCTCGTATGCTTATTTATCGTCTTTTCCCGAAACATATTAAAGATTCCTCTTGTCACTTACCCCTGCCACTCCTAAATTTCTTACTATGCTCTCTACACCTGTTTCCCATTTTAGCATTAAAGTCTTTATAAATAATCATTACTTAACTCGTTTCAAACATCCCTAAACATTCACTTAATTTTTTTTACACGCTGGGCGTCTCCCACGGAGACAGGGTGACCCATAAAAGAAAACACTTTCACAATTACACTAAACTGACAGTTTAGTAGTCACTCTAACAGCAAATATCCCTAACCTCTTCTTTAAAGTGAAGGCATTGTAGGCCTACTTCCCACCTCCAGGGCTCAATATCTCCCAGAATTTCTTTCCTTCCTCTACATTTCTCTCACCTCTAAACATATACAGGATTAACGAACTAAAACTCATACCACTGGAAGAATGAAGGAGCAGAGGAGTTTAACATATTAAGAGAGCTAAATATACCAAAAAGGTAGACATCAGATTGCTCAAAATTATGTAAACAGAAAAAGGGAACATAAATGGAAGCTATACACCAAAATGTACTAGGGAGTTACGAGAGGAAACTTCTTTAGCATAAGGGTAGTAAGACGGACCTTCAAAATTACTATGATAAGGGTCTTCTTCATCATGAGACACAAACATTACCACCTTCATTACGAGGATGGCACGTAGGATCTTCAGTATGAAGGTGTGAAGGACCTTCAACACAAATGTAGTAAGTAGCGCTTTCTTTAGGATAAGGGTGGTAAGGAGCTTCTTCAACACGAGTGTAAAGAACCTTCTTCAGCACGAGTGTAATAAGGACCTTCTTAAGCATAAGGTTGGTAAGGGTCGTTATTAATTTCAGGATTGTTAAGCAGGTGAAATTCCCGGGAAAAGGTTGTGGGGGAGGGGGGGGGCAAAATCTATATATACACGGATACAAAAGTATATGCGACTAAGCACATGGGGTTGGGTAAGTATCATAAGGAGATGAGATTCGTCACCCGCACACACACAGAGAAGTGAGTACACCTCACCTCAGCAACAGCGAGCAATAGACAAATATTCAGCAAAGACTGCACAAACACCTACATATATAGGTCGTGTAGAAGACGCGTCACTGACCCCAAGGTGCTTGTTGCTCTCAGTGGCCTGCGGGCCACATGCGGCCCATGGGCCAATTGGACCACCCTGGTATAAATAATGACCTCTCAAAAATAGTAATGATCTTTTTCAAGTTAATGTTTAAACAATTTAAACTTTTGATAAGCAAATCTAAACATATACTGATGCAAAAATCTGAAGATAATTACCATCTGCTGGAAGAGGACTCCCTCATCTACCAGAGCCTTGGCCAACATCATGGAGTGGTGGTAGTGAACATTATCATCAGCTGTACCATGGATTAGAAGGAAGGTCTTCTCTTTTAGGTTGCCAGCCACCTTGGTGGCATCAGCAGCCTCGTAGCCCTTGTAGTTGCTACCAGGATACACGTGTGGCGAACCCATGTACCTTTCAGTGTACACAGAGTCTGAAGAGGCAGATACACTATATATTACACTGAGATGTTACATAATGTACTTGATCAACTATTTCTCGGGCAATGTTAGAAATATTAGAAAATAATATTTACTGACATAATTCAGGGAGCTGGTGTAGTGGTGAGCTGAAATCAGAAGACGTTATTAGTGGGAAACGTTTTTCTTAAGAAGAGAGCTACTAAAATTGCGACATTATACATAATAAAGTTACGTATTTCTTCCATACAGATATTGGCAATGACTCTTGAATAAGAATTCATTAAAACATTTATAAATCGCATGATGTCCCTAGAACTTTATATAAACATAATAATGTAGGTAAACACCCTTATGAAGCCCAGGAGTTGGACCCCAACTCAGTCAAGCATGGTGAAAATGTGAGTTGAATCGAATGTCAATTTGTAAAGATATGTATTACTTAATGCTTCACTAATGATATTATTGCTAGCAAGGTAGCTCACTAGGACGCTCACCAACTTCCTTGTCAACTACTGCCAGAAAAACAATAACAAATAGTCAACTGGGCTGGGGATGCGCACACTTATTTATCTCAGTTTTAAAGAGTATGGGAGGATGTTCAAATAGTAATCTATATCTGAAAAAAATTCAATGAAAGGCCACTGACATTTGAAAGATTGTTGTGTACGTAACTGTTTCGTGGGACAGACTTCATTATCTGTATCCATCCACTCTGCGGGACAGTGTTCGGTGGTTGAGTTTTAGCGAATATCAGAGTTTTATAAAAACAAGATCATGGTTTACCGTAATGTTCCCACCGAGCAACTGGGGCCACAGCAATACCACAGCTGAAGACTTTATCAGCATCTCTTGCTAAGGCCATAGTGGTAACATAGCCACCGTAGCTCCAGCCCCAGATAGCAATCCTGCGCTCGTCAACGAAGTGTAGATTGTCACGAAGGTATCTGGCAACTGCAAGTTGGTCGTCCACCTCCTTCCCTCCCAGAGCATGGAACACCTACCACAGGCAAGCGAGAACATACACATTGTAATATTATTATATAAAAAAAGAAGCGCTAAACCACAAAGGCTATGCAGCGCTGCAGGGTAGGGAAGGAAGCGAGGGTATTGGGCGGTAGAAGGGGGCAGGGATGATCAGTAGGTTACAGAAAACAGCGGGGCAGGGGATAGTGCGGGGGTAGAGGGCAGCAAGAGATTGAGGTAGAAAGGGCTGAAGGTATCATCAGAGTTTGTGAAGTAAGTCAGTTGTTGTCAAAAAGTCAATGAGAGAATCCGGATGAAAGGTGGGTCCATCAGCGAGAAGGGAAGGTAAAGAGAGAGCAGAGGAGCGAAGACGACGCTGCAGGTATATTCTGCGTGCTCGTTGATAAAGTGGGCAGTCTAATAGAATGTGGCTAACCGATAATGGAACCTGACAATTCTCACTGAGAGGAGCAGGGCGCCTCTCCATGAGATAACCATGAGTAAGACGAGTATGGGCCAATGCGAAGACGGGAGAGAGTAGTCTACCAACCTCGACACTGGTGACAAGAAGACGGCCAGTAACCTATACTCAGTTTAATAGATTGAAGTTTGTTACCGAGCAGAGTAGACCAACGTTGTTGCCAACGGGTGTGAAGGTGGGTAGCTATTACAGCAAAATAGTCCAGAAATGGAACACCTCTATATGAAACTGGTAGGTCATGTACTGCTGACCGCACAGCAGTGTCTGCCTGTTCATTGCCCTGTACGTCAACATGACCAGGAACCCAACAAAAAACAGTATCTTTATGCTTGGAAGAGATGCGGCGTAGCCAAAGTTGGATACGGAGGACTAAGGGGTGAGGTGTATCAAATTTCTGTATAGCCTGTAAAGCACTAAGGGAGTCTGAGACAACCACAAATGATGACACAGGCATAGATGCAATACGGATAAGTGCTGCAAGAATGGCATACAATTCAGCAGTAAAGATACTAGCCGAAGATAGTAAATGCCCTCGTACGACGCTGTCCGGAAACACTGCTGCGAATCCTACGCCGTCAGAAGACTTAGAGTCAAATGTGTACACTACAATGGCATGAGAATGAGAGTGGAAGTGGTCAAGAAAAAGAGAGCGGGAAGCTACCGTAGACAGTTGGGCTTTCGAGCAAGGGAGTGAGAATGAACAGACTCCAACAGCTGGAACTTCCCAGGGGGTAGGGAAAAGTGAGATGCTACATGAATATAGAAAGGTGGTAATTGAAGAGAAGACAAGAGCGAATGTAGGCGAAGAGAGAAGGGACGGAGCAAACAGGGGCGGCGAACAAATAAATGTCTACTAATATCGGTGACCATTCTATAAATGTAAGGATTGCGGAGATCATGAGAGGGTACATAGTAGCGAAGGCAATGTGCATCACGGCGATCGGATAAGGATGGAACGTTCGCTTCTGCATAGAGGCTCTCAACAGGGGAAGAGCGAAAAGCACCAAGGCATAAACGTAATCCTTGGTGATAAATGGGGTTAAGGCTAGAGAGAGTAGCAGGAGAGGCCGCTGAATAGATCTGGTCACCATAATCAAGTTTCGATAAAATGAGGGCGGAATGTAGGCGAAGGAGAGTTCGACGATCAGCTCCCCATGAAAGATGAGCAAGGGTCTTAAGAAGGTTCAGCCGGCTGTGACAAGTTGCCTTCAGAGAGGTAATGTGAGGTTTCCAGGATAACCTACGGTCAAAGAGAAGGCCTAGAAAGCTGACTGTATCACGTTCAGGGATACGGGAGCCAAAGAGGTAAAAAGGATGACCGGAGATGACAGAGCGTCTAGTGAAACTAATTTGGTGAGTTTTGACACATTGTAATAATAATAATAATATAAAATATCTTTATTTACTGCAGGTAGATGTACATGGTATACAGTCCTAGCTGACATCAATGGCATACTACTATATAGAAAGCCGCTTGTTATGCTGAGCATTTCGGGCAAATTAGGTCAGTTTTGTCCCAGAATGCGACCCACACCAGTCAACTAACACCCAGGTACCCATTTTACTGATGGGTGAACAAAGACAACCGGTGTAAACACGCCCAAAGCGCTAAATCCGTCGGGTTTTATGTCTGATCCACGGAAGCGGAGGGTAGAAATACTTCTTATCATGACTGTTTACCAACATCAAGGCACCTTTTTAAAAGATACCACCTGGTGGTTCACACTTACACTCACTCACCCATTTGACCATAAACAGAAACATTCATCTCAATCTTAAAATAATGAATCCTATGATACTCCAATACTAAAACTATGTACTGTGCCAAAACAAAAGCATTCACATTGCTAAACTCACAAACTAGTATTTAGTCACTTAGCCATAATACCAACTTACCTCATAATTTGTAATATTTTAAAATAAAGAATTAAACTAAGTCTGCCCGAAATGCCTAGCCATGCTAGGCGTTCTAGTGGTACACTCTGTAATCATTATTTAACTACATGTAAACCACACAACAACCAAATTCTGTAAATTCAACATTGTAATCTTTATAGAGAATAAACTTTGAATTTGAATTTGATTTGAATAAAAACATCCTCGTGTCGACTTATGGCTCGGTGCAGCTGCCACATATATGCAATGACTTACAGGATTTCAATATTTTCAAATCAAAATTTTTTTATATAAAATAAAAGTCACAGAACTTGAACAAAAGGTAGAATTTTAATGATACCAAAGCAAATGGCAATTCAATTCAATTTAAGCTATTGTGTTCTGTTTTATTTTACTTATAAAACACTAGAACATCTGCACTCAGGGCTTCAAACATGGCATTCTAACATCAAATCAACACTATCATCTTGACCAATTCTCTCTCACATTACATAAATCATGATCACAACGCAAGAATATTCAAAGTTAATTTCTTACTTGCCCGAAATGTTCTGCATAACTATGGTCTTTCTGCATACACAACTAAATATCACTCATCTCTGTACAAACATTGTATCATGCTGAAATAAAATTATTATTACTTTCCAAAATCCATAGCAATATTTTCCCCATGTTATCATGGGCAGTAAACACTGCAAGTTATATAGTGGAAGGCGACTGAGCATTTAATAAGAATATTCATGTGAACCATTTATTGGAACACCTGAAGAAAAGGACATGAAATGCTTAGATTTTATCAAGAATAAAATGAGTTTTATGTCATGACAACTGAAAGAGTTGTAGCAGCGTACCTCAAAGTTTAAATTCAAAGAAAACCTTAACACACACACACACACACAAATACAATATACAAAACATACATTTTTTTTACAGTAAGATACAATGTTTTAAACTAAGAAAATTATTTTTACATTTGTCGATTAAAGAAAAAACTGCATTATTTTGATCGAAGTTTTGTATATATTTTATGCCCGTTTCACATACCCACAATTATTGAAGTCTTTATAAGGAGCACCAGATACTGGCTTATCATGCAAATGAAACTTGTTAATTAGTTAAGCAATAAAAGATATGTGAAATGAATATACACTTGCTTAACAAGTGTATATTCATGTATCGATGCTATTTACAGAGAAATATGAGGAAAAGAATACAATACAAAAAAATGTTATCCTTGAATAGAAAACAGCATTTAAATATGTGGTTACGGAATGGCAGTGTTGTGATGGAGTCATGAATGGAGACAATGGTAGTGTTGTGATGGAGTCATGAATGGAGACAATGGTAGTGTTGTGATGGAGTCATGAATGGAGACAATGGTAGTGTTGTGATGGAGTCATGAATGGAGACAATGGTAGTGTTGTGATGGAGTCATGAATGGAGACAATGGGTTCATTCTCACGCATTGCGGCATGAACCGCTATTGTTACTTTGTCTACTTCAAAACTATTCTCAGAAGATTCGTTCCTCAATAACAATGAAAAAAAAGATACGTAATTGAGGAGACAAAGACTATTTTCGAAAAAATGTTTTATATAATCATACATGTTCTAGCAGTCTAGACCTCAAAATTAATAGCTTTTATAATAGATCCGAGAAGGGTACGTCAGTTGAGTAAATGGGACAGATTATACACCTGCTAAAAAATAACATTATTCGAAACGCCACATTGGCATTGGCATTGCATACATTTAGAACTTGCTGACACAGTATACAAATTCATCTGAGTCTGCTTAAGTATTACATGAAATTGGTTGAAATATATGATTTTTTAGATAGGGAATATAACGAAGTTACTGTATAAGATGGAGGAAGGTCAGATATACTGTAGGCTACAGGAGAGCTACAACTGCAATAGTTACTTTCTTCACCACTGACAAGGTGACAACAAATGTGCACATGACAACGGCATTTGTAATCATCCACTAATTACTGGAAGTCATCCAAAAATATAGGATAATCTGTACCATGACGTATAGTACACAAATAACCTCCACATAGAAAGAAACTCATGACGACGTTTCAGACCGACTTGAACCATTAACTAGCCACACACTGATATTAAATGATGGATGAACTACAAGTGCCTTGGCATTTCGCCTACCTTTAATAAATGTGTGACTAGTTAATGGTCCAAGTCGGACCGAAACGTTGTCCTATGTGCGGGTTATTTATGTATTGTTCCAGTCCGGTCATTGTCCCTTTTTATTTTTCATGACGTATAGTAGTATACAATAAGCAGGAGTGTGAGCAAGTATATGCATAACAATGGGTAAGTGTAACTAGCAGACTAGGCTGTCCCTCCCTGTGCCAGATGTGTGAACCTCACCTCGTGCTTAATCTTGTCACCCTGGAAACCAGAGCCACGTCCATCGATCATAGCGTATATGATGTCTTTCTTGGACGCAAGGAAGGTGCCCCACGAGATCCTCATCTTGGATGTGACTGCCTGGGCTCCGGGTGCAGCATACCTGATGAATATATATGTGAATGATGAGGAAGCTGTTAACTTCATATGTGTTCCTGAGGATTACATGAAACTCCCTGTTTGAAACAAAGATTGGGATGTAATGGAATAAAAGAGGGTCATGGTGAAGCTAATCCCTAAAAAAAACATAGGGTCGCTAAAACATATACTAAGAAAATCTTTCAGTATAATAAATTATAAGACCAAGCCTTACCTTTCATGATATATTACTCTTCTCCACCTTCATCCATTTAAAACTTATAGTGGATTGCTGTTACGCAGGTTTCTGCATTAGTGTGAAGTTTATAAAATAAGATGTTTAAAGTGAAAAAAGTGCTCCATAATTGTATAAATAATGTCATCAGTTTGGCTAGGTTAGGTAAGATTCGTCAGGAGCAAGACAAGTGTTTCCTGACGCGGGTCTTAATCAGATGATGACCAGCCGTTGGAGCTTTTGGCCATCTGACCGAGGCCTTTCGCTGGCTTACCGGTCCACTCCCTTAAAAAATATGGTTATAGTTATAACCATATAGTTATTAATTTGTGGGCGCTTTTAAGGAATGAAGTCACGGAGTGAATATTGTAACAATAATGTGACTACTGTGACAGCGCCTCTAGAAGGAGAGAGAGGTGGTGTAGTGAGGCAGCCAGCATGGAGCCAACTACCTTTTACTAGTTTGTTATAATTCTCAGGCCGTAGGCTGGTTTTCGGTTTATATTTATGCTCACATGGGCCCTGGCCCGGCCGGTGTGTTTAGGTAACATCTGAAATAATAGCGCATTTAACAGGAGGCTAGAAGCTGCCTAGGACAGTGTAGTTATGGCGACCCGCTGGTACCTTGCATAATTTTTTTTATGTCCTAGCCTTAATTAACTAGTAGCGGTGTACTAGAGTATTTTGTAAAATGTGAAATGCATTGAAGGCAGGGTCTGAGTTGTATATAATGATACAGATAATATATGTATATTTTTCTAAAGGTGAGTTTATCTGCCCTTCCTAGTTATCAAACCTCAAGTATTAACCACCTGTTTGACACTTAGTTTACGAAGCATGGGGGCTTAGGGTGGCTGATTTTTACCCTCCCCCTTACTTCCATGTTAACTTCGTAACAACTGCCAACACTAGACATGAGTTGTAAATATTATGGATGGTGAAAGTTGTAGTTGTCATCAGGTACATCTTAAAAACGTGTAGGAAAATGGTTTCCAGAAACAATGTTTTTTTTTTAGAGAAGAATGTGACTTCTTCATGAGAGTTTAATATTTCATATGTTGTAAGAAAAGTGAAAACTAGACTATTTGAGTTGCAGAACCAACAAACAGTGAACCTAATTGTAAGTTTGAATTAGTACAACTGTTGTTTATAAACGAGTCAGAGTAGGTGCACTGGTTGCTACACTTATTTTGCTGAGCTAAATAAGAGAATGCAGACGATAAAAATTAAATATGCTTAATTCTATTTAGTGGAAGTTAATATAATGGGTGTGACACTGTGCAGTGTGCATTCGGCCAGTTATGTAAATTATAATTATGCTATAAAAATAAGCGATAAACCTGAATGGGCCATACAGTGCCGCATTGGAGGGTGTGGAAAATTTTGGATTTTCCTAAATTCAGCATGTGTAAATATGAATAAAACAATAACTGTGTAATAGAATATGATGCTGATTTGACCCTTTCGAGAAATTTCGAGTGAGGGGAGGTGTAGAACAGCTACTGAGTGACGCGGACAGGGAGACGCCATTTGTAATTTGTGAACACTGGTTGTCGTTGGAAATTCTGCTAATAATCTAGCGTCTTCCGAGCCAAATTGGGGGAGGTTTCGGCCTGAATTTGTAATTAGAACCCGTGTTAATGGCCCCTGCTGAAGAACTGGAACAGGAAATTTGAGGGACCTCAAGAATTACGCGTGGATGGCGGAAGATAAGGGATACGAACATCACTCACAGGAAGTGCGTCATTTGTCCTTGCATTTAGCTCTCTAGCTGATCAGTGAGGGTCTAGGTGTCAGGCAGGTTTTGTGGTGTGATCCATTTACAGTAATTAAATGGTAACTGGTAATGCGAATTTCTTTTGTGTACCCAGCAAGCCTCATCATATACAGTCCACAACTTTAATTTACCAGAGTAGCTAGTTTTAATATTGTAATTATTAATTTAATATCAGGTCTAGCTTTTTGTGAGTGGTGAAGAAGGGGGGCACGAGGGGTTACATTTGGGCGACCCCTTACCCCCCAATTATTTGCAGGTAAAAATTTCGAAATACCATGAAAAACCCCATGGGGGTTTTTTTACTCACGAATAAAATAATAAAAAAATTTCACAAAAAGGGGATGTGTAATAGGGGTTATGGAGTTTGAAAGTGCAAGTTTAAAAATAAGTCAGATTTAGTGAAAATTTTTTTTTCGGGGATTTTTTTTCCCGAAGGGTTTGTGTTTAGACACCAGAACCACAGGAGTGTTGTCAACCTACTAAAAGAGAATTTTTGGAACTCACTTTTGTGAAAGGTTTAGTAGAAAAAATGAAGTTACTAACCTAGTGAATTTTTGGGGTTTTACGGGACAAAAAAAAAAAAAAAAAAAAAAAAAAAAAAAAAACGATTCATTTCCCCCGTTTTTTTTTTTCAATAAGTAGACAGTTATGAGATTTTTAAAATAGATATCTTGATTTTAAAAAAAAGGGAAATAAAATGCACTTAAAAAAGATTTTGAAACTTATTTTGCTTTATCAATTTCTAAGCATGTATTTATTTGTTATTCTCATAATTATTAGGTGTTTGAACTGGTTTTTTAAAAGTCCAGATTGTAAAAAAAAGTATAATTTATAATCGGATAACAATGTGATTTAAGTATGGTGAAAACTCTGGTCAGACAGTATTGCTGAGAAAAATTTTCAGAAACTGATTTTCGCAGAGGCATCTTGTTTTCTTCAATAAATGGGGGAAAAATCAATTGTTTGAGGGCTTACGTTTTTGGGCAACCAGGGTAGGGGGTAATTTCATCCTCCCCTTTCCTGGTTTGGGAAGGAAAAATTGGACTTGGTAGGGGTAAGCGCGACACTCTCCGCTTAACCGGAAGGTCTGTACTTTAGGCATGGCCACTCTTCTACTCTCTCCCCAACTCATGTAGCATCCAAGGTGTAGATCATCTGCAGGACACCCAGCTACATGAGTACATGTTGTTTATTCAAAATATTTTAAATGGTTTGGAATAAAGATGGAATTAGCCTTACCAGAGAAATGAATATCGTATTGGATTATGACCGTAACATTAAAAGGAATCTTAGTTCATGCTGAAAATTACTCTTTCAAATAACTATATGCGTGAAGTAATTTTTTTTAATTTTCCAGTGTGACTGTTTTGAAAAAAATCATGCAAAACTTACAAAACGTAGTGCAAGAAATGACTCAATATGAGTGTGCATAATACATATTAAGCTAAAAATCTGATCAATAAAATATATGCGACATAATTTGTCATATTTTCTAAATTTAACCAGAAACAATGGCATCCAAAATTTAGATTATACATAAAACATTTATTAAAGGTAGATGAAATTCCAGTGCCCCCGACGTAGTTCATCCATCATTTACTATCCATATCCTGGATACAAACATTTGCATAGTAACAATAAAAAGGAAGAATGTTGCATCAACCTCAGCATGAACGTCAAGCAGCATTGTAACACTGATAATACATTTAGCTTCCCACAAATTATAAGTTTTACAAATGACTCACTTTCCTCGGGTACATGGTTATGCAAAATATTTAATGAAATTAAAATATTCAAAGAATAATTTTAACTGATTACTGGCATATGCAAAATGCATGTCATAAATAGTATTCTTAATGTAGAGGTTATTTAACAAACTCTGTGTATATGTGATTTACCTCTTTGAGGTGTGGTAGCCTATAACTTTTTTTCCGTAATTTGAAAATGTAATTTCTTGTGTAATATATTACTTGTTACCAATTTTTTACCAATTTGTTAATGTACAGAAACAACACTGCGATGGTCTCTCATCATCAGTACCTAAGTTTTCATGTATGTACATACATAATATTATAATTGTCAGTGAATGTAACTTACACTACTTGCTCTTTGATTCCATTCCAGTAGTTTACCTCCACGTGAAAAATATTTTCCATTTTTTAAGCACTTTTTCATCTAAGGGTACAATTATGACCTCTGAAAAATCCAGGTTACCTCACGATATCCTACGGCTTCATTTTTTTTCTAATATTCAATAATAACATGCCTTTTGTGTTTTAGATATTTTATTGGGCTTCACTAAAGCTAGCTGGCAGGGATTCAAGTTCATCTCATTTATGGTTTCTTCTGTAAATACTCAAGCTTAATACGTCGCATCTCGCATTTCCTTCTCTTATTCTGCAATCTGATCATCTACCACATTTCCTGAAGTTTGTTTGTAACATACTTTTTTTACTAACTTCAACAGAATATTTAACTTCATCTTGCAGCTATCTAATATTCAGTTTGTAATTTTTGAATCTCTGAAGTTTATAGGTTGCATTAAGTTTTCTTACTTGTCGTGGTTTCTAGTACCTGCTGCCCAACTGTTCTTTATTTCTAATGTTTCTCAGTTTTAAATTGAACAATTTAATTATACTTTTACATGGTGCAAATATCTTCATATATTTTGTTTACAGCAGTCCTTTGTAATGTATTAATATAATATCCTCTGTTATATATTAGCTGTAATTACCTAGCTGCTCTCGCAGTTGTCGAGCTTCGGTTCCTGTGTCTACCTCTTAACGTGCTAGTACCCCAGGTGAACTATCTTAGTCATATTTACTTGTGTTCCTGAATGTTTTTTGCTGATATTTTATCCTTTTCTAGTTTATTCTGCTTAATGTTGCATGAATAACTGTTAATGTCTTTGGTTAACCTGAGTGTTCAGCTTCCATCTTTCTGGTTTTCTGTAAATAATCTTCGTCTCAAGTGCTCTAGTATTTCCTTCTTTACTATTCCAGTGTAACTTTCAACAGTTTGTATGTTAGAGACTCTGGTTTGTAACTCAGTCTCTCTTTACTGTC